GTGAAGCTCCCGCACCCCAGGATAAATATGTTTTTTTTTTTTCCAAAAATATTTAAAACTCTTGACCATTTTTTTTCCACTTGTTTCACAAAAAGATTTCGAAAGTGTTATGAGAAAACATACAGCGGATCATCGCAAAAGAGAGAAAAGAAATATTGCTCCAAATCCAACGGCAGGAACTGTAACTTTACAACAAATCCGCCAAGAAATAAACAACAAGTTCATTGATGTTTGTAACTCCTCACACAGAATATGCCAGGCAGGACCTCCGGGACCGCCAGGAGCCCTTGGGTATCCCGGATATAAGGGAGAAAAGGGGGCCTCTGGAAAGGTAGGACCACCAGGCCCATCGGGGCCTATTGGGGCTCCAGGCGTGGGTGGCAAAAGAGGACCTGTGGGACCTCAAGGAGTAAAGGGCGATAAAGGCGACAAAGGGTCTGTTGGAACAAAAAGGATCTATTGGCTTAAAAGGGAACAAAGGTATCAGAGGATTGGTTGGTATTCAGGGACCAAAGGGAGAATGTCTTGTTCCACCGAAGATCATTGTGTATCCAGTATCTCAGGAAGTCTTTATCAACGAGACAGCAATATTCTTCTGTTGGGTTCAAGGCCAGACGTCGTCCAAAATAACATGGCGTAAGCTTGGAGGTACTCTATCTGATGCTACCGTAGAAAATGGTGCGCTTCAAATCAACAGCGTACAAAGGTCACATGTGGGGTCGTATATGTGTTCAGCTAACACTGGTCTCGGAAGTCTAAGGGGTTTCAGCACTTTACAAGTAAAAGGTCTGAATATCAGCCCCTCATTTTTCTGATTTTTTATGATGTGTATCTCTAACGCCATTGTAGACAGCCACTTAACAATGAAATATACATTTTTGTCTTTCCACAGTGAGCCGGCGACATTGAGCGTGTTTAAATAGCAATTTAGCTCCTTTAATGCCTATTACGTTGGAGGAATTTATGTCCGCTTGATAATGTTAAAAAAAAGTATGAGAGGTTTCAGTTGTATGTTCTTGCTATTTTCAACACTAAAAATGTTCTCCAATATGACCAAAAGTAGCTGTACGTTGCTGACGGTTTCTGTTGATCACATGATGTTGTTTATTACATGTAGGTTTTTTATTCGATTTTATTCTACCTTCAGAGCCACCAACATTTGTCAAGAAACTACCATCTTTGGTCATCGTAGATGAAGGCTCCGTTTTAAGTCTCTGTTGTGAGGCTGTGGGCTCTCCTCCTCCCAAAGTCGAATGGTCACGCGCTGGTAACGTGCACTCCCCTGATACATCATTGGCTTTCCAGGAACAAGGCTGCCTCGTATTCAACACTGTTGAGTTCAACAGTCACGGGAAATATGTCTGCCGCGCAAGAAATCGTATCGGACTGGCAGAAACAACAACGTCAGTAGTCGTCAAAAGAAAAGGTGCCTTTTGATCAATAAAATGATTTGCTATTATTCCAGCTATCAAACACTCATTTCATACTAATCTGAGAGACCAATTCTGTCATGACAGTAACACCAGTAGCCCACTTAAATTGATATCAATTACCCAGAATTTCAAACATAGAAAAAACTATTGCATGGTTAAGCATCTCGAAGCATTCTTTTGAAAAATCAAAGATTTATAGGTGCGGCGTTAAAACTGATCGGGGACAAGTTTGTGATTTTTGTGGTCTCCGATTATATCTTGCCCTCGAGACTCAAAATAATATTTATGATAAATAGGTGGGTCAATAACACCAGTAAACAAACAAACAAACTACATGCCCTAGCTCCTGGCCTATCCCATGAGTAACTAGCCGGTATCTTCGTCTAAATTATCTGAATGTGAAAAATGCCAAGTTGAAAACATGTGTCTCGATATTGCCTAGATTCCAGCTTGTAATTATCTCATTACTTGTACCTAAGCCACAGTATACAAAAATGGGCATCCAATAATTGTACACGATTAATGTGATTTAGGTTTTTCCTTAGTTTAGTTCTGTTCTGTATGCTTTCTTTTTCTTGTGTGTTCTTACGCCTCTTGGACTAGACTGAGAACCACAACAATATCATTCGTAACTGTTTCCTTCATTTTTTATGTAGTATTCATATCTGTTTTTTATAAATTTTCAGTCAATTCTTGTGAGGAAGTTTTAAATAAAAATATGGAGAAACGTCCTGGGAGCTTCGAGCTTTTAGCGGGCATTTTTCGATATAATGTAAGTAGACCCCTCATTTCTCTTCCAGAATAAATATGAATCGTTGCTTTAGAGACTATCTCCTAGATAAAACAATTTTTGTTGCTTTGTCTTTTCTTGGTTTGTTTGTCTGTTTTTTTTTGTTTGCTTTTGTTTTGTTTTGTTTTGTTTTTTTCTTTTTCGCTGTTGTTGATTTTTTCTGTTTGTGCTCTTTTTTTTCCTCTCCGGTCGAGAGGTCTTTTTTTGTGAAAGAAAGTCTTAAGTGTAGTTCGACTTTTCTTTCAGCCTTACTGACTGTCTAAACTCCAATAGAAAAGCTTTAATAGTCGCACGACTCAACGACTCCATAGATTATAAAATATTTTTCCGTCAAGAACATTTCGTGGGACATACCAGCGAGGAAGCCTGCATTTTTCAATGGGTCGGACCTGATTACAACTTCCAGTCAAAAATACAGTCGAGATGGCAATTTAAAAATTACATATTTGAATTAGAGAGAGACTCTTAGTAAGGGAAAAACTTTACCTGATGTGGAGAAGTGCCTTCTCACTTTCACTCTCACCACTCCTATCCCAGCGAGGAAGCATGCATACCAGCGAGGAAGCATGCATTTTTCAATGGGTCGAACCTGATTACAGCTTCCAGTCAAAAATACAGTCGAGATGGCAATTTAAAAAATACATATTTGAATTAGAGGGAGACTCTTAGTAAGGGAAAAACTTTACCTGATATGGAGAAGTGCCTTCTCACTTTCACTCTAACCACTCCTATCCCAGTGAGAGAGGTACGACTAGATCCCAAGCCTCCCGGTGACTATTCTAATTCTTTATCGTATTGTTTTAAAGCTGTTAAAGTACTTCATATATATCAAGGGATGCTATCAAATCCTCACCAGCTTATAACCAAAATAATAACTGCCCCGCTTTTGATTGTAATCTATTTGCAATGTACTTTTAGGTTTATTGTGATATCACAGCAAGTCCTGAAGGATGGACTCT